AATTCTGTAGATCTTCACTTACTACCTGGCCTAAAAGTTAATGGTAGACAAGGAAAAGTATTTGTGGATAATTCATAATGGTGTTATATATCCTAAAGTTGTTTCCTGTTGAAGTATTGTATAATACATATACCACTGTCATTAAAGTACATCATCATATACTTCATTTACAATATTAAGAGTAGTCGAGGCATAGATATGTATCTCGGAATTTAACGGAGGTAGTTACCTCAACATGAGTTTTATTGGGTTACATTTTTAGTGCATCTATGTTGAATATTATACTCAGAGAGCTGAAGATAATTTGCCATATCATCTGTAAAGAGGTTCGATATGAAAAGTAGTTGATAACTGGTCATTGTTGCGTCAGCACTTCTAATTTATCCAACGCTTTTTGTAATTAAAACAATCCCACTTTTGAGTAGATATTATTCTAAGCTTCACGACTTTCTCTAAATAACATATGTAGTCTTCAAAATATATCTACACGTTGATTACTTCATTTCCACCAGACTATTGAGTTTTTACATAACATTTGTTCAACGATGCTAGCTGAAAAATAATTTGGTAGTTATTGAATCTAAACACAGATATCTTGTAGTTTTTTTTATGAACGATTTATATTGTTATGCACCTGCAAAGTCATTTTTTTCAATTTGTAGACTCGAAATCTTACGGATAATATTTTCCATCACCTAACTGCTGCGAGTGAAACTAACCAAAAAGTCGATATAAAAAGACCATTAAACAAATTACAAGAGTTACCACTACCTCCAATATCATCAATGCAAACTCTTCTTCAAAACTCACCTCGTCCCCTTCCTCATGTGGTGTTAAGTGATTATGATCGTCCACCTTTCCTTAATAAACATTTTGAGAGCTTTCTTGATACTAGATGGCCTCCATTGGATAATCCAACTGCAGATACAGTCCTTCTCGATTTTGCCAACACTCTAGCAGATGCTTTGCATAGAGTAAGTTTTTAACTAGTTCAGCAAAATTTTTATTTATTTTTCATCAAGTAATCCTAAAACTTTTAATGTCTACACAGTTTACTTTCAAGTTAGATATTCACTAAAGATCTTAAAGATTTCTTAGGGAAAAAATTCCGTAGTCATAATACTACCCGTGAAACTCCATAATGTTGCAAAATGCTGTTATAACTGCAAATTAATTTAGGAGCAAGTATAACTTGTGAAACTTAACAGGAACTAAGTGATTAGCACAGAATATGAATTCAGCTGTCATAGAAATTAAAAGCGAATGTTAATTTTTAATGATCTAACTGAATAAGTCAGGAGAACAATGTATTGTTGACTATTAATTATAGTTTTCCCATAATAATTCTACCTGAAACTACGCTTTACTGGGGAATACGATTTGTTGAACGATTTGATATATTATAGTAAATATAGATTACAAACTTCTCTGAATTGTTTACTTAACAAACGTTTTGTTAACCACCTTTACTCAACTAAAGCGTATAAAATATCTTTTGACCTAGTACTTTATCCGGCGAATCGAAATGTACAAATGGTTAGTGTGCTTAGTTTTTTTCAGAGAAATCCGTTTCGTCCGTTAAAAATAGATCGTCTGTATGTGCGCACATAAAAGCTTACTACAGAGAGTGATGCAGAACAAATGAATACATGTATCTAGTCATTATTTGTCACCATAGTCAACTGATTTAAACAAAAGTTATAAATTTTTTGGATACCTTATTCAAAGTTTCGTACACTATACGATGATCCATTCAACGTGTAAACACTAAAAACAATTTAGCATGAGGTAATAAACCTTATAAATCAGTAGCTAGAAAATGAGTATATGACCAAATAATCTGCTCTACAAACTGTAAAGTGCTCTTAACAAGACGTTACTAAGGGATAATGTGGGGATGTGCTGGCGTTCTTGTATATAAAGCCGAGTTTTTTTATGTATGATATGTAGATCTCTGTTTAGTGGTAAAACATACACATCGCCAACTTTGTTTTATAAAAGGTGAAAAAGTACATCATTTTTAATGATCATTTTCTTAATTTATGGTCACTTTTCTTGAAATTATGTCGGGAATTACTTCAACTTTATACAGCACTTCATAACCTCATGTTTATATTTAACCTACGATCAAACCATTCGGTAATGATTTTACCCATACTTCATGCAAAAATGGGATTTGTTAAGTGAAGAAATGCTTTATTAAGATATTTTTGTTTCAAGTTGGATTTGATTTTGTTAGTAGCTCATAATCTGTTTACATAGAGTTGAATGTGCTGACTAAACATCAAACTACAAGCCACGGTTATGGTTCGAAATCTAAGGATATTATTTAGTCCCTTAAGATTGAAGGTAAGTCGGTATCCGAACATGGCAATCACTAGTAAAATTTAAGTATCATAGATACAGTTGAACACAATTTAGATAAACTCAGTACATTAAACGTATTAATCTAAGATATATTAGTAGCGTTTATATCCTAGTTCTGAAATTTTACAACCACATACAGTCTTCTCTTTTTCCATAATCTTACTGAAAGTATTTGAAAAATCGTTTTAGCTTATATATTGTCTGGAGAAACATAGAAATTAGGCATTGTAGTTACATATATGATTTTTCGAAAATTGTTTTTTTCCAGATAGTTTCTGCAAATCATGAACCTATTTCATCCAGCATTGCTTATCCAAAACCTAGTGACATTATGGAATGTTTCTCAACTAATCTGGGATGTGACCTTTTCAAAATGGTAATATTTTTGTGTGTAGTTTGGATAGATTAATGTTTGCATCGTTTTCGAGCGACTTTTAACTATCATTAGCTCAGTGGATTTAAATGTTTCTCTGATCGGGAAAATAGAAGTTGCAATACTCCAGACATCTAATTTACTTTTTCGATTGACAAATATGTTAGTTGCTTTTAGATTTTATCATCTGATGTAATAATTTAAGTGTATTGGTTTTGGTTTAATAACCAGAAGTTAGTTTCGTGGTAATGACAACGTTATGCCACTTAAACGGATAGAGCATAAAGATCACAAGACATGGAAACTGACTGTTTTGTGTAAAGTGATGAACTTAGTACCTGTAGATTTTGTTGCTATTTACAGCCGAAAAGCTCACTTTATGTTCGGTATAAAAAAGTGCTTAACGTTGAAAAGCTGAAGACTTGATACTTGTTGATGTGAACCAGTCAGTTTATCGATTTTTCTATTAATTATTTTCTGACCGAAATTTCCGAATATTATCCACTGGATTGTACAACATTATATAAGCAAATTAGATGAGAATTCTAGGATAATGCATGGATACGCACTTTTACCGTATCTTGAAATATCACTTATTTCTTTTAGGTGATCTAAATTCCATGAACTTTTTGTGGATAGTAGTTTTAAGCAGAAGCACTTACAGCAGTGATCAATAACAACTATTAAGGAGTTTAACACATTTACCATTTTTGCCTAATGACATTTCCCGTAGTATATCTTACGTACAAAAACTTAAGTACACTCATGCTTAACTTTTTAGATACAAAACGATTAAATTATCTACATATTGAGTCATTGAGATTTAAGTTTCTTACTGATATGTCGAAAACTACTAAGTTTAAAAAGCAAACCAGTACCTTGCTTCAGTCTTTCTATAATAAGCCTCTATAACTAATAATTACATGTAAATACGACTAAACTATATACTTCTTTACACTACTGAGGGTTAAAGAACCTACTACTTATATAATACTCAGTGTTGACTTGAACAGTTAATACATGTTATCAGGTGTATATCCTGGTGTAACTCAGGCATAGACCGTTCATTGTTTATCCCCATAATTACGTTCTTTGCCGTAAAGAACCTTGAGTATTTCTATACAAACGTACATACAAATTTAAGATTCTCAAGGACATTACTACATACCTAGCTAAACCACGGGAGAAACATGTCAACATTCTACCTAACGGAAATATTCAAAACCTCAAAATAAACTCGCAGCAAATATTTGACTTGCTGATAAGTTCATTTTGTTTGAGCTAAGGTCCCATGACAGATTACTAAGGGTGAACAATTAATCTTGATTACCTACTACGACAAACTTGAGGGATACATACCAGATATCTAATCCCACCCACAATCTGAAGAAACTTTCAGCTGATCAACGCTTCTGAATACTTGGCACTTTCCCACCATGCCTTTTAACCATAGTAACGATCTAGAATCATTGTCTGGGTTAAATTGACTATAGTAATCATTCCAGAACAAAACCATAGTGTCCAATAAGTTTGTAAGAAGTTTCTTGATTGTATTCCCTCGTTACTAGAATTTTTTCCTTGATAAGTTATTTTATATATGTTAGTTTGAACCCACTTCCATTTAGTTTGCTCACTTGCAGAATTTCTTTATACCCATTCTCATATTTCCAACTGATCGTGTGTTTTTGTTTACAGTATCTCAGTCCTGTGGACTATAAGTATGTACAAATGTTAAAAACACCTGTACCTGCACAAACCTACCTGCCATTGGGCCTACATGAGATAAAGATATCACATCTAGTCAGTATTCTGTTAATAGGACTAACTGGGGAACGGACTTCAACACCAGCATGCCCACCTTTTGATAAACGGGGTCCTTACACATATTGGATGGGATGTAAGTAAATAATTTTTGTTTTTCTGTTTAGTATTTACTGAGAGTTCATGTTTAGATATATCTCGTGTCCAACATATAAGATAAGAACCTTGGAACTAAAACTCGTTTCAATTGTTTTATTATACTCAAGAACTGGTTTGAAACCACTTCAGTTACCCACTACATGCATGTAGTTACACTCGTACTTCTACTCTAATTGTCAGTTTTTATATTAGTGATATGTAAGGTCAATTTTTAGTTGTTATTACAAGCCACGATGTCCCGTCATGTTTTTTGCTGTATTTAGTTATAGCACATCATTTTGATGACGTTAGCTACTAAAAACTTACCCGTTAATTCAAAGGAAAGATATAAGATATTAAACGCTAGATATATTCATGTTTACACTTGGCTCATCTCATCAATTTCCATAAACATAACTGGTACAAAGAATGCCTGTCGCGCATATTTTGGATATGCATTCTGATTGCTCAAACAGTTACAGGTGTTCCTTTCAGTAATCCCACTCTCTTCTTTTTGTACAAAAAAAACAGATTTTAACGGCTCTGAACAATGTTACTTCACACGCATGGACATAACATCACAATTTTTGATGATGGAAAACGAAAAACTCAAAGCCCCGGCCTGGATGCGTAGTCGCGAACATTCTGAAAGGTTCTTGCGCTGGTATCGCGGTGCATCCCCAACGGTTGATGGATTCAGTGTTGCGCTAGGGATTTTCCTCATGACCCTCACACTTCTCATAGCTCTGTACATCAAGGAGGTCATTAATAAGAAAATAATACAAATACCTGCACAAATGGAAATTTTATATACATCTGACAACGAAAATCGTTTCGCACCTACATAAAAATTTTCTGAAAAAGATGTACATACAGAATATATTCTTTTAGACAAATTTCACTTTTTTCGCAGCATTTGATGGGTGTAGAGCACTTCGTTCTTGAGCAACCTTTTGAGCTTTTTCAACCAGACTAGTCAGTTGGCCGTTTTCACCCAGCATCTTGAGAAGCTCCACGATAAGTGGCAAATAGTTGTGTCGACGACGAATATTTTCTGCGCGATACGCTGCAATTTTCTTCTTTTCACTGGCGATATTGTTCATTAGTTCTGTTATGTAGACAGATTCTGGCTACAAAGTAAGCGTAGTAACATGATAGGATTCATTACCAGTATGATATAACTAAGCCTCACATTGTAAAGAGCTAATATGTACCAAATATAGATTGTATTGACCAATACAACGGTATCTAAGTAGAGTAATGGTATCACAGTTTAAAAGCTTTCTGATGTTTCGAGTTTTACAAACGTTACATGAGTAACAGTCATACAAATAATATTTTACCCAAACCCTGATGAAGGGTTCAAATATGACTAAAAGCTAGTATAAATGCTTGTCATTCACATCTCGTACACTTGATGCAGAATCTCAATAGGAGCTGGAACGTTATACGTACCTAGAAACATCATTGGTAAACAAGGCGGGCCCGATGCATGCATCCAGTGGCAACACCATGTTAGTAACCAGAGGTTCGACAACGTGTGTTCGGGCACAACTGAAACACCGACTTTAGTGGCTTGCACATATACTACGAAAATCATTTCAGCGACTTCCACATTGTGTATTATTTGCGGACACTGAGACTGGTTGTAAAAGGTGGAGAGGTGGTCAGTGTATGACAGTCAGTCATCAACAACGTAAAACAAGGTACATATGTACATCAGTTCAAGTTGCCATACCACATTAGCACAGAGATACAATTGTCAATTCAAATCCCGTAGTGGTAGAGGTAGTAAAAGTATAAGCAGTAATCGGAAAGATTATGGTTTGAAGATGTTATGCAATGAGTATAATCCAGTGAAATAAATTTGGAAAGAAAATATAGGACATGAAGAATTTAGAAGATTAGAATTTGGGAGGACACAAAGAGTGGATGCACCTGCGCCATTGCCAACGATTTTGAGCCATGTCATTCAGGATCTCTAACCATCGGTTGCTACATCGGTCTACATCTACCAACATGGTTCAGTCCACTTGTCAGTGACTTCATGGATTTGTGCCATGTTTTGATTTGGCCGCCCCTAGTTTTCTTCCAACCTACTCCTACACCATGAAACATCGCACGTCGGGGCAGTCGGTGGTTGGGTATATGTAGCACGTTTTCTAGCCGTCTCAACTGATGGAGTTTCACTACTTCATCAATTGATTTGCCATCCTTACCTAGTACCCGTTTCCTAACAACTGCGTTACTTACTCGATGGTCCCAGGATATGCGAGCAATATTCGAAGACACCTATGATCAAATACTAGTAACCTACAAATATCCTCTACTCTTACCGGCCATGTTTCACTGCCATAAAGTAAGACGGAACGAACTGCTGCGCAGTAAACCCGTTCTTTGGTTGATAGACGGATATCTCGCCTACGCCATAAATGACGCAAGTTGGCAAAAGCTAGTCGAGTCTTTAGTATCCGTGTTGAAATTTGGTCACACACAAGACCACAAAGCCTGACGGGACTCCCAGGATAAGTGAAGCAGTTGGAACGCTCAACTACCTCACTCCCTATCATTAGTTCGGGTGTCCATGCAAACCAATCCTGAAGCAACATCTTGCATTCCGAGGGAGAGAATCGCATCCCGAACATGCTTGCATTGTTGCTTAGATTGGTCAGAAGACTGCATTTTGTCAGTGTCTTCACCAAACAGAACCATGCCATCGGCATATTCTAGGTCAAAAAGTGAAAATCCCGGTAGAAGTTCAACTCCTGGAAGTTTAGATGAGGAAAGTGTAATCTTTACAAGCACGTCAACGACAAAGTTAAAGAAGAATGGAGAGAGTGGACAGCGCTGACGAACATCACTTGAGGTAATCAATTCTGATGACAGTTCGCCATAAGCTCTCACTCTACCAGTTGTGTTCGAGTAGATAGCCTTTATAAGGTTAATGTACTTCTTTTGTACTCCTTTCAGTGACAAACACTGCCATAGAACCTCATGATCAACAGAGTCGAATGCCGCCTTAAGGTCGAGAAATACTACCATTGTGGGGCGTCTGAATGTGTGTGTGTTCTAGGATCTGACGTAGTGTGAATATCTGGTCTATACAACCACGTTCAGGTCGAAAACCGGCCTGGTTTTCTCTAATCTGCTCTTCACGAGCTTTGATTAGGCGTCGAAGTATTATTGAAGCTAAAATTTTAGACACTATATTAGTCAAACTGATTCCTCTGTGATTGTCACAAGAGGACTTTTGTCCTTTCTTATAGACTGGCACAATCAGTGATTGAGACCAGTCAGATGGGATTACATCCAGTTCCCAAATTCTACCTAAGACCTCGGTTAATCTCATTGCTAATACTGGACCACCATCCTTAAAAATCTCAGGAGTAAACTTGTGAGGGCCTGCTGCTCTTCCTCGTTTCAGATTTCCTATGGCTTTTTCAACTTCGTAAAGGGACGGAGGACCTACATTAACTTGCCATTCAGGTTGACTAGAGAACGTGGGAAACCGAAGTGTGGCTGAAGGCCAGTTGAACTGATCCATAAAGTGTTCTGCCCATCGATCCAATCTCCTGGATTGAGAATGAATAATATGTCCATCTTTCTATGAGATTGTTTCGCTAAGAGTTAAGTTCCTAATACCGGTTTCCTTAACGAGTCTGAACAATTGTCTGCTATTACCTATTGCCGCTGCCTTTTCCATCTCTCTTGCTTTCGCTACCCACCACTGTTCGCGATCATTGCGTAGGCTTTATATCATTCAGTGCTTAAGCTAACTCCGCTCTTCATTATGTTCAGAGCCAGGTGGAATGAGTTTCCGAGCATCTATCAGTGAGAGAGATGCTGTTGAGATCCAGTGTTGCTCCCTAACCTTCTGGTTTACCTTACTAGCAGATATCACTGCTGTTTCCACAGCTTTTCGGATATCATTGCATGCTGCCTCGGAGTGGGCATCACATACATGGCTGCCTAACTGTTTTCCTAGTTGTTCCTGAACTATACTCTTAGCTTGACTATCATTAAATAGGCCCCTAAGAGGTTTACTTGCAGCGTCTTTCTTACGTCCAGTAAGACGCAAGCAAATACGCGCTCGCACTAGAGCATGATCTGAATCTAGCCATGTGCTCCAGAATGAGCGACAGTCTTCTATCCAGCCCCTCCATCGGTGGCTGATAGCGATGTGATCTATCTGGGTCCAACGTTGGGACGAATTAGCGGGTCGCCATGTTAAAAGATGTTTTTCCTTATGCTTAAAGTTAGTATTTGCAAGGAACAGGCTGTTATCTGAGCATAGCTGCAACAGACGGTCGCCATTATCTGTTCTTTGAGCCACGACACCATAAGATCCACCTAGGTGTCTTTCCCTATCGCTTAGTTTACCTACTTGAGCATTAAAGTCACCGGCCACTATTACTACATCCGAGCGCTTAGCTTTTCGGAGGTCAGAAAGCTTTCTGTAAAACTCATCTTTTACATCATCTGCGCTGCAGTCAGTGGGAGAGCAGGCAACGACGAGTGTTCCTATCTTTCCGAGTCTTTACTGCTCCGTTTAGTCGAACAGCTCACAAGTGACTGTCTACTGGGATCCAGTTTAAGAGAGCTAGTTCTGCCCTATGACTTAATGCTATACCTACACTAGCGAGGCCATGGGAAGCAGAATTAGGGCTTCCAGATACACGAAGTGTGAACCGATGTGGGTCTTTATTTTGATATGGTGAGGTCAAATGAATGACGCTACTCGGATCCTGTATTCGTGTATGGGAGATGCAGCAAAAATCGATGGCGGAAGATTCTAAAGTCCTAGCTAAGGAAGTATGTTGTCCTATTTGTCAGTGTTCAGACGTTTAAAGCTCTTACTTGTAGTTTAGAGCATGGTTTCAGTAAAGCAGGAATAACGTTCCGCGTACTCGGATCGTTTGATCTGGCAGCGCGAGGTGATAGAGGAATGTGAGAAGGATTAGTCGCAAAGATAAGTTATTAGGAGGTCTAGGAAGGATTTGAATGTGACCAACTTGATCTCGTGTGCTGTTTCGGGTATGAGGGCTGATGTCATTTCTCTGCTGCTCACACCATGGAAGGGTATTTCTTGAGGAACCTGAAAAGGAAGTTGGATTAGTGTTGGTCTTAACGACCTGGGAGCGTGACCACAGAGTTCAATGGACAACTGCTTGAGGATGGTCGCGCATGGCCTTTTCGTGGAAGGTTTTTAATGCGTTAGCTGTTCTTCAAAGGGCCTTACCGCCGGAGACGGAAATCCGTGAGGTAAGGTGAGGTGTGACATTTTTAGGGTCGACCCTTTCTAACCCAGTGCTTCCATGTGTGCTAGAACCTATAGGAACGTATGTTCCAGCCAATATAGCTCGGTTGGGTCATCACAATGGGCAAGCCCGGCCACAATGCCAAGGTAGTAGCTACGGTCGGGTAGCATATGACATGGTGCCGTGGCATGAAAGAACTGTGCAAAACTGACATTCGTTGTTCCTTCATGACTCCCTGGTTGGGGCCCTAGAAGCAGCGCAACAGCGGCTTGAGGCGTCAGAAATGGCTCGAAGTAGAAGCTAGTGGTAGACCTACTTTCTTTTTTAATTTCTTCATATAAGTGAGACGAACTTCTTAGACTCAAAGAATTCTCTCTAGCTGTTTTTCTTGAGTAAACTACTTCTCCCATTGTTTTCCACTCCCATTCATTTACTTTTTTGCTATACTCACCTTCATTTCTATAGCTCCTCATCTAATTTTCTTGTGTGGGACATCGGTGGTCCTATGGTAAAATGCTTGCCTGTCGCGCGGGCAGTCCAAATTCGATTCCCGGCCGACGCACACTTCGTCCCTAAACGCCCTGGAACGGGCGAGGGTGGGAAGTCTTCTTTCCCTCTCGAAATGTCCTCACATGGCCACGTGTGTCCAGCTACTCAGTCTTTTCGCGGCGGGTATGGCTTATGAACCAATTGTTGGTCACCGGCTACCATTGGGACTGCATCTCCTTACGATGCTCCACTGCCTTGTGGATCAGACCTTCAGGTTGAAGGCTGCGGGCGTGGCCCCCTAAGAAAACCACCTGCTTCGGTTTGGGAACCCGGGCAGTATCACAGTTCTCACACAAATCAAATGAGATTTGTGTGGCACATATGTATTTGGTGCCTCCTTGTACCAATATCTGTGTTAAAATAAATAAAATAAACTTGTATGTGACCGGTAACTAGTGAAAACATATAGTAACTCACTAAACGATGTAATCAGAACTTAAAGTGCTTCGTATTTAACTAGCATTTTCAAGATTCCCACAGTTACTTTCGTAACACTTCCAAAACTTACAAGAAAGAAGGAATGCTCTTTATGCTGTCACAAGTTGGAGATGTCAGTCTCTTTGTTCTTCTAAGCGTGAATATTATAACTGACTAAATGAATGACAAATGATATGTGTAATATTCAGTGAAATAAGTGGTTATCGACTAACACTGAGTTTCAAAAACACAGAATATTCATCTGTTTGTGTTTAACAGCTGGATTTATACATGGATTTCTTTCTAGTCAAAGGATATCAACAATGCTTGAAATGTGCTCGTAAATGTTTCATGCCTGATATGATGTAATGAATGCTTCGTTTTGACGATAACTCTAATTCCTCGAGAAACACTTAACTATTAGAGATATCTACTGGACGTTAAACAAATTTGGCAACAAAGTATGGAGGTTGTAACTGTCAAATATGAAAGGGTTTCAGGTAAGAATTTTCTGGATACAAATTGGTTCGCTAAATTAGCATAGCTTAGAATAATTCGGAGATATGTATTTGCACCAATCCCTCAGCATCCCATTTTGGATTTGGCTCACTGAGTTGTATTTTGCTCACACTTTCATAATTTTGATTTGCAGATACTCAAAAAAGGTAAACGACTTCCCGAGTGACTCAAATGAGTTCTCACAGAATCTTAATTTTCTGTTGAGAAACCGTAACCTGGTGTGAATATATTATCCTTGTTTTGTGGTTTTAAAAAAGAAGGGAGTACTGAAAGGGGAGAACAATTATAACTATTACGTATGGTAGAGTTCTTTGAAAATCCTGTCACAGGATAACTCTTCAGTTTGCGTTCACGTTCGCAGTTTTCAAGACTATAACTTCATCAAGTGACAAGAAAATGGTCACGCAAATGGTACCCACTGAAACGTAAAAAGTACAGACTTACATCACTTGAGTCCTTTTTATATTGTGCCAACTGTTTTTCGTACATAGCAAGTCGATTAGGGACTACTGCCATTATATTGAACTTTCCGTCTACACATTTCTCCATACGCTTCATTAGCAACGGACGAGCCGAATCTATCCAAGATGAATTTTCAGGTAGTTTTCCGTGATCAACAGGGCCGGGTTTTAAGCCATCTAACTCGTACAAAGTACCATTAATAGGAACATAACCAACAAAATGGTAAACGTCTTCATTTGACTTAGGGGTCTTCTCATCAAACTCGAATAACTGATAACTAATTAAATATTAGCAACACGAAGGAAAATTACTTGCTAAAGCTGTTATGTACGACTCTAATTTGGTCAGAATTGCTTATAGCAGTACCCTTCATCTAGAAAAACTTGTTAGGAAGACATATTTCATACTGTGCTGTCAAAGTCTGACACAAAAGACTTGAAATCAGACAACGTTGGACCAATGGGCACTTTGTCATCAATATTTAGCAAGATATTAATAATTGCTTGAGTCGCACAAGCATTTGGAATTGTCTAACAGAAATGTTTGAACAATTATTACGCTACTTGTTTCGCAAAAAATATGCCCCTGTTATTTGCGTCAGTTACCACTTTTCCAACATTATCTTGTTTGTCATCGTAGTTAAATAGGAAAATAAACCCAAGTGCGTCAGACACGTTGCTTGTTTCTGTCAGATCATAAACTTCTTCGCATTCCAAACTTTCTACACCTAGAAACTATATTAAGCAGTGTGCTATAACTAACCGAAACCTCTAATAAGTTCAGTGAATACTCCAGGATCGCTTTCTATTAAACACCAGTTACCACTACTTGACATTGATTGAATTCGGCCTTCAGAATGAATTTCCCTGAAACAGAAAAAGTAAAATAAGCTCACTATTTAGTGAGGCATACTGTCATGAACTACTGTTTCTTTCAGATAAAAAGCTCAAAATTTATAGATCAAACTGTTTTGGCACAAAAATTATGTTTGTGCACACTGCATATTCTTGTTATCAGATGTACAAGGATATCTCACCAACCATGGTATAAGGTCGCTCGACCTGTGGTAATGCTTGCAGCTTGTTTCTAAGTTTTCACTGATGGAGTTGATACCATTTATTCGGGTAGGGCTCTCCAGTCATTGACCACAGCGCTTATAACTTTACTGATCAATGTGATTTGGATGCACAATGGAACCCAGCTGGGACAGAATATTCATATATCAGTTGGCCGTTTCCGGTTGTTTTGGTTGCTGATGTGAACAACACCATTTGGGTATTTCAAGATTTAATTTCTGACTTGTTTCTAGACTTCCATGCACGAATGTTTTTCAATGTTGAACCGAGAACCTGCTGATGATACGCGGTGCTTGATTGAAATAAATAACCCTATGTCAGCTGTTGGGTCGTCTGAGACTTGCTTTCGTCGTCAGTACCTCATGTCGCTGCATATTTCTGAAGTATGTTTTTTCCGACAAACCTTCACTTATGTAATTTGCATTAACTTTATGTCAGTCTTGAGATAGTATACTTTCGAGATTGAGGTACATAGGAATTTGTTTCTGTCGATAGAGGCCGCTAAAACGCTGCTGGTAATCTTAGTAAGGGTATTCAACTTTTTTTGAAAATTCAACAAATGTACATGCTATCGGATTTGGTGAATTTGGAGACATTTCATACATTGAACCGTATAAACATTGAAATTATTATTGTATCATTTCCCCATTCTGTATTTTTATATTTCTATAAAAAATGCGAATAGTAGTTACAGAATATTTACTTCAAGTAATTCTTGTAGGCATACCAGTGAAGAAAATATACAAATCGCTAGACGAAGCATACTTTACCTGTCTGCGGCTAGTCTGCTTATGGGACAATTTGTATGTTCGTTTGAAAACGTTTCTCATCTGAGTTACATTATTGTCTGAGGTAATATAAACATTCTTCAGTCTTCAGCAGTAGGAATAGTAGGTCTTTCTACCTGTGTTAATTCTTGCAGCTTGTTTCTAAGTGGAGATCCAGCTGCTTGGAAGTGTTCAATGATGGAGTTGATACCACTTATTCGGGTAGGGCTCTCCAGTCATTGACCACTCGGTGAGAAATCCGGGATCCCGCCTCGAGTTTATTTGATCGCGGTTTTTGAACCCCCTCTCAGCGGTCTCACATATGATTAGTTTCAATGGTGGAAAAGGATAAAGCACGTTGACATCCAAATCATAATTTAAGATCCAGAGTGCCAATATAAGGTCACCTCGCGTTTTACGGTAAGATAAAGCAAAAAGGTGTAAAATTGTGGTCTCTCATCATAGGAAAATCAGAAAACCTCGTTGACAACTTAATTTTTACGCTTTAAAAATGGTCAAGTGTGGTAGCATCCTTGGTAAAACATGGACTAGCTGCTTGGATCCATTATTGCAAGTGGACTATAAAGTCTGAAATACGTCTTCATCAAGGCGTTCGAACGCTCAGCGAAGTGACCATAGCACTCGGAAACCTTTGGCACTTTCTTCATTGCAAGACACAGTTGTTTTTGAGTCGCAACTCACTATTACGCATAGGTCTTTTGTTCGTGTACGCGTGGAAGCGGTTGAGTATTATTGTCTCACGGCAGCTCGTCATTTTGAACCCATATTGAGGATTGTGTTCTATGAGAATTCTGAGCCAGCTTTCTCAAGGAGTCTGTTGTAATTTTTAAAATTTTTAGTGCATGTGTAAGATGCTTTTTTGTGAATTACGTGAAGTTTGGAAACAATTATGTTATCTACTCCATTCTAAAGCTATACCAGCATTATTGGTTCATTACATATCGCACCGTTTTTGATATTTTTCCTTTATTATCCTTTTTCTTTCTTACCTCATAAGTTTGTTTTGGTTTTTATATTTCACACCTCAATATGCACAAATGTTTAGTTGTCAGATTGTTCAGAGCATACTGTGGTAGTGTAACACATGAATCTAAGAAAATTTGTTTTCTTGCTAAATTATCCGAGTTTATACAGTATATCAAACACTTAAAAATGTGAAGTTGTTAACATGATAACATTGACGGTTCTCTCAAATGCGGGTCTGCCATCAAAGTAGCCAAAGTTCCTGAATTTGATGAAATGATGGTCCACGGTACTGAGTGTGATGCATAGTAGTCACACCATTTCCGTTCAACTTCAGTAGGCTCCGATCCTCCACACAAATCACCTACGTTCGTGATCTACACGGCCATGTGGACTTGGTTACGGTCAACCCTCAACTTTAAAGCCTGCGTTATATATATTTTTTATTGGTAAAGTTTATTTCTGTTTGACAGAGGTTCTAGAAAACCACACATTCTTCTGTTACAGTACCATCAGTTTTTACGAACGTCTTGGGGTTTCGATATAAAATAATATAAATGCAGCAGTCATCATTGTTATTTGATTACATTATACTGGTGGTGTAGTACTTACTTACGTCCGTTACTCCACGTGAGGAGCATAGGCCGCTCATCAGCATCCTTCATCCAGCACTGTCCCCAACAATCCTTTCCAGCTCTTTCAAGTTGTTATCCATCCTTTTCATACCTGCTTCCCTTCTCCATGTAATGTGTTCTTTGGCCTTCCTCTTTTCAGAATTCCAAGCAGGGGCTTGCCTCGTGATGCAGTTTGATGCTTTACGTAATGTATGTCCTATCCATTTCCATCATCTTTTCCTAATTTTTTCCTCAGCTGGAAGCTGGTTTGTTTGTATGCGACAGGAGGGCTAGGTCATCTGTGAAGTCCGAATCGTCTGAGCTGTCCATTGTACTCCGTGTTTCTCCTCAGATACCTTCATAATCCAGTCGACCACCAGAACAAAGAGAAAGGGAAAGAGTAGACAACCTTGTCTGACTCCGGTCCTTACTTGGAATGCATCTGTCAGCTGTCCTCCATGTACTACTTTACACTGTAGTCTGTCATATGAGTTCAGGATAATGTTGACAATCTTCTCAGGAACTCCATAGTATCGAAGAAGGTTCCATAAGCCTTTTCTATCTTCGTTGTCAAATGCCTTCTCATAGTCAAGGAAGTTGATGTATAGTGACGAGTTCCACTCAACTGATTGTTCGACGATGATCCGTAGTGTTGCAATTTGGTTTGTGCACGACTGATCCTTACGGAATCCAGCTTTTTGATCTCGAAGTTGGGCGTCTACTGTATTTTTCATCTGGTTCAGCTACACTGTTAAGGACTTTCCCTGGTACTGACTGTAGTGTGATGCATATTGTTGGTCTAGTACCATAAATTTATTAGATGATTCCGATTCCAGACTTAAGTCTTATATACTGTACCAGATTAGCCTCGTCATAGATCAAGCAATTCAACTTTTATTCATGTATATATAAAACACCTATATTCAACGTGCCTAGTAGAAATCTGTTTTTTGTCATTTGTATTTCGTAAAGAAATTTGCATGTAATAAAAAAATGCAATATAATACAAAAAGCAGATCAAGAAAACAGGCATACCTTTTCACTAGTGTGACCGTGAAACTCCAGATTTAATCTTAGTTATCGTCAGGTTTGATTTACTTAGCTAAAATACAATTTCATTAGGCACAACACTGAATCTCAGGAAATTTGACACCAAGGTATATGCCTGTGCTATCTCCTTAAGTTGCTACAAACGCTCACAATTTTTTGAGTTTCCACACATCAAAATCGTGAACATTTATGGGGCATAAGATAATGAACGGTCTGTGTCTGCAATACGATCGAAGGATAACTAGCCATCACAGCTACCAACCGATTGTCATATATTGCTTAGCGAAAATGCCGCGTGTGGGGCGATCCTGAAACATAGATTATTACGAGCTGTCCAGTGCTACTTCGAACACCGTTTTTACGCACAAGACGACAACACCAATGTGAGTAGTTTACAAGTGTTGTATACAAGATTTCTTCCATATGGGTTCTTTACGAAAAACCACACGAAATGCATTAGATCAACCAGACTAAAACTCATCACAAGCGTAGAAAGTCTCATAAAACTTTCTGCCGAAGGAAAATAAATAACGAAATCCGGAACAACTTACCATAAGGACAAAGGCTAATGCCAGGTTATAAGAGTCTAGACGTTAGGTATTGTCCGTTTTTAGTAACAGGTGTTTTGCAGCTTGTTTGTTGACTTCAGGGAGGGAATTGTCCTACGACATTAAAGCAGTGCATAAAAAATAAGAGGACAACAATGACTATCATCCAAATATTGATTGTCAACAACTTAATATGAAAACCACGCCAGATATTAACCCCTTACTTCACATCCGTGACTCAACATCTACCGTAAAACTTAGAACTGTCCTTTCAAAACTCGTCTTCAATAAGGTGTATAGCCAAATTATCTTAACTGTCGACGACATTCCCAAGACGGCTATCATGACTACTTGATCGCAAATGCAAACAGAGAATCCCATCTCCAGCATTTGAATTTGTTTATCGTTGACCACAATAATATAGCATTATTGTAAACGTTCCGAAACATGAAACAGCAATTAACTGTAAAGTGTGATCGATAAACAAGCCTACGAATGATATCATGAAACACTCACAACCACATTAGCTTCCTTTGACCTTGCTTTTTCATCATTCACAATTTTATATTTATCATAAAACAATGTTTTCTTTGTTGACTCATTTATTATATCCTATGGTTACTGTTCTGTGTGTTATTTATGTCTCTCTTTTCCCCTGTTTAATGGGCAGTATTAATAATCTAATTTGTGTACTAATGGTGTTCATTAACGTCTTAGAAACAGATAAAGTCTATCATCCGGTAGAAAACAACTGTGCTAAAAGACGCTCGCCAGAATAAGCAAATTAAGCAATTTAAACTCTGTCCTGAGAGTTTTTGGAAGAATTATGA